ATATTTGAATTAGAAAAGTCTAAAGACACAATGAAGAAGCTGACATCAGAAAAGAGTGATTCATGTCGAAAATATATGTCTGGCAATTTTCGTCGAATGAAAATTTCTATGACATTGATGTGTGTATCATCAACTCTATGAAATGTCAGTGCATCTCTGAAACCACGAAGACTAAAACCAAACAAAACAAGAATGGATTTTTTACACAAATGTTTTTCGGCGTATTTTATTTCCAAACTACTGAATGTCGTTTTTTTATAGTTTGGAACTTTTGTAGTTTTCTCAATTTTTTCCAAAATTCTTCCTCAATATCAATTTTTAAACTGTATGGCGTTAATGATATAAGTCAAGTGTCATAGTTTGACGTATTCAATGCATAAACTGACACTGAAGTACTGAAAACCGGTTTTCAGTACTTTTCAGTATCAAGAAACAAATTTCAGTTGTTTTCAGTACTTTCAGTCAATTCAGTAGTGATTCGCCCCTTGTATGGAGTACTTTTTAAATTAAATGAATTTTGAAAATAAATAATTGATTTCGAAAATTAAAAGGGAATTTTTTTTTCAAAAATATAAAATTGATCTCTATTTATAAGAAGTGATGCCTAAAAATAATCTCTAATTGAATTCGAAAAAAGGAAACGATCTCTAAAAAAAAGAAACGGTCTCCAAAAATAAACGGTCTCCCAAATAAAAGGTCTTCCCGATGGAGAACTTTTCCACCCTGTTGTCCAAAATAATGGACTTCTTTCATGGCTATTATTCAGAGCATTGAAGTTGCTGGCTATGTAGCGCTGCTGGTGAACAGATCTGTTCAACAGCAGCTGTTGGTTGCTTGCATATTCGCTATGACGCGCGCTTGTTCATTTAACGATTCTCACACATAGTGTTTGTCCCTTGCATTCACAAGGAAACAGACAGAGAAGCGTATACAACAGACTCCGAGAGAGATTTTCATCTTGTTCATTTACCGTTATTTGTCAACAAGTCTGCCTATCTTTTTGCATTGTTTCTGTGTATTTATTATGGACATATACTATGTACAGTGTAATGCAAAAAGATAGACAGATTTGTTTACAAACAACAAAAAATAAACAAAACAAAAATCCCCATAAGAAATCTATTGGGAATCTAAAGTTTTACTAAATGACGAACATTTTACGTTTCTGTACTATATACAGATCTCTGAGCTAACGAATATGACCAAATATTATATTATGTGTATACTGTATGTAGTAACTGTTTTCATGCGACGAACCGCTGAATTTTAGGTTACGCTGGTCGCCGCACTATCTAGCAGCACAATCGCTGTTGCCAGTCAATGCCATAATTTGGTTTTGATGAGATAAAGCAACTTTTAAGTTTCAATAGTATCGTAAAAACTTCCCAAAAGTACTTTTTCAAGTAGATCCCTAACAAATGTTCGATTTTCCATCGGCGATCTTCACAGATCAGCACATAGGCTGTTCCGTTCCGTTTACGCTAGTGTATTATAAACACACTTACGTTTGTTCTTTTGATAGAATCGAAGTCTAGTGAAACCCAAACTTTTACCACTTTCTGACTTCTGACCTAACGTTTTTTGCGTACAAAGTGCAACCAACGACGTGAAACAGACCTAAAAAACATCGCTCTTAAACCGTTTTTTCGTGTTCTAGCCTTGAAAACGAGTAAAAATGATATTTTTTGGGGAGGTCCCAATTTTTGGCAATCACATTACTTTTCTTTCAGGACATGGTCGTGTGGAAAAGTAAAAAATGAGTTTTATTTTTCATTTTTTTCTTGCTTCGACCAATTTATTATTTTTATAGATTATTTCTATATTTTTGGAGACCGGATCCCTTTTCTTCCCGCAAAAATTTCAATATTTATGGGAACCATTTCATTTTTTTATTTATAGAGATAAAAAGAAGCTTTTTGGATGCAATTTTTTATTTCTAAACACCAGTTTATTTTTTAAGGTAGCCAAAATAAGATTTTCTAAAGACCGTTCTAATTTTTTTGGAGACCAATTCGTTTATTTTTGCAAATAATTTTATTTTTTCTAGATGACAATTTATTATTTTCGGCTGTATAATTTTATTTTTTTCTGGAGATCGTTTTCATTCATTTTTTGGAGACCATTTCATTATTTTTAGAAATTCATTCCCATTTTTGGAGATCATTTCATTAAAAATAAATACCAAAAGTCACCTTCCCAATGTACCATTTTACAAGGGTTTTCAGGTCTCCAGTCTGGGGCTTATTGTACGAAATTGATAAGTCAGAATGGGCTTGAAATCAATCCGAAGCTTCGTCTCAACATGTCAAAACTTCTGGCTTTACAAATCTCAATTATCTTGTGATATAAGGCGAACAAAACACGCGAACGAAGTCATTCGCACATCCCAATTTTACATATTTTCCACAGTAGACACAATACGGGAAAACCAAAAATCGTCCTAAAACATACAAAAACCGTACTAAATTTTCCGAAAATCGTACTAAAATTTCACAAAAATCGTACTAAAAAATCACACAAACTACGTGAAAAGTTACAAAAATCGTACTAATTTTTTTCCAAAAATCGTACTACCCATTTACATTGCCTAGTGTACAGTTATGCGCTAGAAACAGTTTAACGCGACTTTATAGTGGTCCGTATGAGAAGATGTCATGAAATTTCGGGTAGTAAAACCAATACTTTTCCTTAACAAACAAAGTTTGCGGAAAGTAATATTCTCAAATTTTGACATAAAAATGTCATAAAATGTTGTATATATTATTTTGTCTTTGTAAAAGTACATCCATTGTCCATCCATGATGCATCCATCCATCGAATGAATCCATCCATCCATCATCCAACAGTATCCATCGTACATCAGTATCCATCCATGCATCGACCGCATCCATCCATCCATTCAAAAAGTGTCCACAGTTGGATGGATGGACACACACGTGGATAATTTTGGGGACTTATGACCGCTAGCCCTTTCGTTGTGTATAAACAAAATTTTCAAAGTAAGTAATGTGAGTTGAAATCAATACACGACATATATTGCATGTTGCATTATTTTTACTTTTAGGGAGAACCGAGAAGAAACCAATACGTTTTAAATCGCATGCAAGTTGTGCCATTCTTTCTAGCTCATGTGCTGAATGTGTTTCTCTTAATATTGATAACGATTAGAAGTTATACTCTTAATAAGATGGAAGATTCTTCATGGTGGGATTTAATGTTGGCCATCTACGTTTTAATGATAGTTGGTTTGTATTTTAAACATGTTTTTGAATACATGCAAGAAGAAATTAGAATAATAATTTTTTTTCATTTTAGTGTCTAACTGTTGGATTATCGATCAGTGTGTCATTTTTCACATTTTTGTACCTATTCGAATCTGCATTTCAATCGGCATTCTTTTTATTGCATTGAAACTATGTATATTGATGAATGATATTAAATTCCTTGGTTTTATATGCTGCTTATCAACAGGTAATGATAGAAACATTTTCATTTATTTTCTACTTGCACATTTTCTATGTATATTGATGATTTAATTGAATCTATATCGTTTAATTTTTTTTTGTTACTAAGGTCGCCAGTGTTTTTTGGATATGGAAATCAATCCCAAGAAGTATGGCGAAAAATAAACATGAAAGTTATTTTCCTTCTTTAGCAGACCGATTACCGATTCACTGACGAATCAAAATAATCTATATATGTATATAAAACTGAATGTTCGTCTGTGTGTGTGTGTGTGCGTGTGTGTCGCGAGTTATCTCTTCTTTTTTTTTATTTATGGCTTTATTGTTATGCATCCTGTTTGATTTCGCGCGGCCTCACTAAAGATCTTATAAATGCAGTTTTGGTTTTCGAATGACATTTTTTGGAGTTTGAAGAAAAAAAATTTCATATTTTTTGTTATTACATATGTGTGTATGTGGCTGATAGGCAAAGATTATAAATAATACCCGAAATCACGTAATAGCAGTAATAAAACAGGAAACATAAGCAATGTATGCATCGCGCATTAATACCGTGACAAAAAGTTTGATTTTGATTGCAAGATGAATTATCATAGTACGATTTTGATTAAATTGATTTTATTTATTCGTTGAGATAAAATCGAAATGACTCGCAACCATCAGTCATCAATTGAAATAAAAAACACGACAAACAACAAGAACTCGAGTAAGGAGACATTCAAAGGAAAATATAAAACGTAATCTTCGTCTTGAATCTGAACGTTTACGTAAGAAAGAAGTAAGAACTAAGGAAACAATCGAACAATGTGAGACACAGAGTCAACAGAATAAAGTGAAATTCAAGTTCAAATTTGTATTTAAATAATCGAGGCATTTCAATTCGACGTTTGACTTTCAATTTAAACTTTATTTAATGAAATACTATAGTGGTGCAGCTGATGCATATTCCTGCTGAAATTGTTGAGTTCGCTTCCGAATCCGTGGGGAAAACAACTTTACATCTTTTGTATTTATCTCTAGCATGAAAAAATCAAATTAATATGCACTTATTTTGCTGTGGTGATTTGTATCCATTTCGTGAATGTTCATGAAATTGATCATGAATTTCATAGGTGTTCAAGGTACTTATGGCCAAGGTAAGGAAAATTTTCTTGAATTTGTAAAGAAATGCATAGTGAAATTTGTGTCAATTTTGCATCATATTATTACATACATTAAACAAGATATTGGAATATCATAAAATTGTGCATAATATTTGATTTTTCCTCAATGTTATTCATAAGAATTGATGTTTGGTGAAGATATCGATTATGATTTGCCACTGTTGTATAATGGACTTAGAAGCTACGTTTCGAAATGGTTTCGAGTTTTCCGCTAACGTGTCTATTGATTCGGAATTAAAATGTGCTTTTGTTCTATGAAATAAATCAAATAGTTGTAATTTTGCCTTCTTACGGATCTCTTCCCACATCCTAAAATGAATGAAAACAGCCCATTAATCATGATGTTGAATTTTAAATATATTTGCACATGCGTTTACTTTTCAAATGTGTAATTCTCTGATGAGCATTTAACCAAACCCATTGTCCTAATGAATTCCAAGAGATAAAAATCGATGAACAGCTTAAAATTGATGACCAAATCTTTTGGGCCAACACTCATGAATAAAAAGAAAATCAAATCATGGACAAATGACTCGTAAACGTAAAGTTGGAAATCGTAAATTTTTATCTGTGTTGGATTTGCTACAGTAGGGCAATATAATACAATTAGAATTTTCAATGAAAATATCAATAAAATTTGGTTTATATGCTAAAAACATTTACCTTTTTTAACCATAATGTTATTTATCCATAAGTCAAAATGTATGATGGTTGTGTATGGCGTATCGACTGTTTGACTTGAATTCTTCACGAATTGAGCCCCAAGCTGCAAATAGCCTTTAATCAATTCACGTTGCTTTGAAGAAAGTTTGTCCAGAAGATGCAGCTCATCACAAATAATCTATTTCGAAGAAAGCAAAACTATAGTTTCCAACAGGTTTAGTTGAGAAGAAGAATAAATAAAAATTATTGCCTGAAGTATTTCATCATCATCTTTCAGCCCACCAACTGCACTGAGATTGTGATTCACTTTTTCTTTAAAAAGATCCGGTTCAACCTGTCTCATTGCAATACATAAAGCGTGAAATTTTGCCAAATTCTATGAATTGAATAACAAAATATCAAATTAGTCATCGAAATAATACGTTTTATCATTTTATTTGCGACGTACTTTTAAAACAACAATTGTTTCTTGCGTATCAAATCTAATGTATCGGTTTACGTTAACAAAATGGTCATGCTTTAGATTTTCAAGTAGTAAAACTGCATCGCGGTCGGCTTCCTTAGCATCTAAAATCAAACATTTACAAAATCATGTTGTCAAAATATATTATTTTATTTTAACTTGCTTGAATTCAATGAAATCCTCGATCCTAAACATTGAATGAATACGTTCAGCCTTTCTGCTTCCGGTACATTTGTACATTGCTCAAATTGTTGTATTGCCGGTATAATATTTGCATAAAAGTGAACTTCTTTAACAAATGACAATTCTGGCTTAAACACAGCAGCCCAATATGGATCTAATACTGATGTTTTTACAACCAACTGCATGGTCTCTTTCTAAAAAAAAAAAACAAAATACAACAGACAATTAACAATAATATAGAATTTAAAATGAATCTTTATGAAAATAACTAACTTCATTCGAGTTACTGTTTTCAATGACATTCAGATCAATTGTACGCAGAATGGATCCGAAATTATCTCCTGGATTTGTCAGGGAGTTCAATTTATACTCTAACACTTTTTTGTTCAAGCATTTTTCTAAAAATGTTTTTAAATGTTTGATGTCATTCAGTGACACACATTGATTCGACATTTTATTTGGATGAATTGCAAAGGGTTTCTTTTCACTTTAACACACCAACTTCCAACTTCAACTGTACGATAGATTTGTGGGGATTGTTCAGTCTAATGCATTTACTATGAATGATGTTTGTAATCTAATCAATTATCTTGCTGATTTATCGACACTCAGCATATATGCAATGCGGCCAAATTTCTGTCAAACAATTATCAGAAAATACATCAATGGTCCAAAGTTTGGACTCCAAACTTCATTCATCTGAGTGTTTACTCAACGTAGGTTCATAAAGTTTCATAGCATTGACAACACAAGAAAGTGCTCAAAATCACGCAAACAAATACGCTGCTATCCACCCGGACTCAATTCAACGACAGTGTTGGTAACGTTTTATCTAAAATGTTGATGTGGTGGTACAGTGTTTTCTGCTTGATAAATGTTGATAACACTACTGTGTTGTTAGCAGGTCATCAATGACTCCGTTTTTTTTGATGGCTCATAACTCAAATTGAATGAAAGGTTCAGAAATTTTTTTTGCTCTATCTTTGCAGAATAACTTTTGAATGGATAATGTTTGAAAATACTCTCTCCATAGTGAAAAACTACGTTTTGTGAACTTAGTCCAAATTACAGCAATATATGCATGTGTGACGATTTTCCACAATTTTCCCAAGAATGCCGGAAAATTCGGATTTCCCGATTTTTGAAAATGATAGATCTTGAAACCTGTGAAACAACTTTGCTGCAAGTCAAACTAATGATTCCTTGTAAGACAAAAACCCATGAATAAAATATGGTCAAAACAGGCCATTCAGTCAGTTGTTGATTTTACTATTAGTATTAGTTTGTCTTCAATAAAATCTAGTGTTGGCCGTTGAACACTTTCGAACAATTGTTCGTTCGTTCGACATTAATTTTGTTAGTAGGATCACTCAAAAAGATATATTTCAAGATTCCATAAGACACCAATTTTTTTCTTCCGAACCGTCTATCGCTCCAATCTACGGGTTGCCGGACGGCAAAAACGTTTTGCATTTCAAGCCACATGTATTTCATTTGAGCTTTGTGGCCAATGGCTATTGCTAGCTAAATCAAACGATGTATTTGATAGCAAAGCCAAATGATGGGCATTCTTCGCCACAAAAACCCCAAAATACCTCTCATTAAAATTGTAATTCAATAATTTTAACCATGACTCGTATATATCAAATATGTTCCGAAAACGAGACCTCCTTGAGTTAAATTAAAAGAAAAAATTGCAGGAAATTCTATCGGAATTATAATCAATAACAACTGTTCGCGAAATGTTTCGAAGTTGAGTCGAAGTGCTTCATAGATATTCATTACGAATTCAAATGCAATTTGAATATAAATTAAAATGCCGGTTTTTGCTCCCTTACACACTTTTAGGGGAAGTGCTGAATGTCAATTTTGCACCATGTTCCCCGCTTCATTCCATTACGCATATCCACTGGAAATGTGTGCTTCCAGCTCAAAAAAGAAAGAGGCGAGAATATAACACGTCTCCTTTGTACAAAAAGAATCTTGGAGCGAAAAAACCGTTAAAGGCAAAAATGAACACGTATTCCGAGACTATGATTCAATAATAATGGGACTTGCATTGAGCTCGCAGGATAACGAAGTGATATACACTCTTTTAGATAGAAGAACACGAACAGGCCCGCAAATATCAAATGCATTCTGATACCGCTTCAAAAGGGTGGAATTGCTTAAAGGAATTTTTCAGAATCTTTTTATTGTTTCGAAAATAATTTTGATTGTGAATAGATTGCACATGGATCAATCTTGAATTCCAAACAGGTACACTCAAACCATTCTCCGTACAAATTTTGAGTTTTTCACTCCAAATAGGAGTAATACACAATACACTCCATAACGGAGTAAGTATTTGTATGAGTGTATTCCATTATGGTATAGAATATACACCACAATGGAATACACTCATACAAACATTTACTCCGATATGGAGTGTATTGTGTATTACTCCTATTTGGAGTGAAAAACTCAAAATTTGTACGGAGAATGGTTTGAGTGTAGGTGTTCGAATGAAATGCAGGAAAAAAATGCAGAAACCCAAAAACACAGAAAGAAAAAATGCAGAAAAAAATTTGCAGAAAAGAAAAAAATGC